TATGTTTAATGTCTTGTCGCACAAGCTCGAAGATCTGCAGGCAAAAACCAACAAGTTGACAGAAGAGGCAGGATAGCGAAGACGGGACTTCCTTCATGTGAATGTAAAGAAGACGGAGGTGATGAAGATACCCGACCAACAACAACAACAACAAGAGGCACCAGTCACCATCAATGGGAGAAATCTAGAGGAAGTTGTCTCTTTCACCTACCTACTTAGGCTGCATCCTCTCAACTACAGGTGGCGGCACAGATGAGGACGTCAAAGCCAGGATCAGAAAGACAGCTAGACAGACCTTCATTAATCTGAAATAATCAGTGTGGAGATCTACTGCACTGCACTCAGCATAAAGCGTGGACAAGATCCGGATTTTCAATACCAATTCCGTCAAGTCAGTGCTTCTATGTGATGGTTGAGAGACTTGGCGCGTTACGAAAAGCATTTCCAACAAACTACAAACATATATCACATCAACAGCTGCCGCCTAGGCTCACTCGATACTGAAGATCAGATGACCAGAAAGAGTAAACAGCAAGGAAATCTGGCTGGTAACGAAACAACCAAGAATCCATCGCCCAACAAATATGCAGAAGAAAGTGGAGATGGATTGGGCGTACACTGAGAAGGCCGACTGGGGACGTCACGCGCCAGACCAGGTCCTCGAGTGGAATCAAAAGGTGGAGGTGGACGAGTTGGGCGTCCCAGCTGAGGATTACATGGAGATCATGTGAGGATGAAATGAAAGCTTCTAGGCAGTCTGGGTCCTAGGTTTAAAAGACTGCAGAGGAGAGAGTGAAATGGAGACGTGTTACCGGCTTCCACTGGGAACCCAAAGGTCAAATAATACAATAATAATAATAATAATAATAATAATAACAATAATAATAATAGTACTGGACATATATATTGAACATTCCAAACCAACTCAGTCGCTGAAGGTTCAAGTCGTCGTCTTATTTACCTTCCTTGCCTGGTATTCAACGCCGACATTGATTACATGCTGATTCCATCAAATACCACGTGCAGGCAAAATTAATGTTGAACCTCGCACATAAGCGCATCGGTTCAAGTTGCCACACTTCTCTGTTGTATACAAAGAACAGGGGAACAAAGAGTGATATTAAAGTGTAGGGATTTGTGTTAGCGAACAAACAATCCGAAGGTAAAGGTTAGTGAAAGTATTTAAGCTTTACAAGATATCAAGCAGGGAATACATCTGGGCCATTGTGACCAATTTCCAGCTATTTCACCTAGAGCACTCAACCACTGGTTCTTTTCGTCTCACAGACCCTAACACCAAGGAGTGTACATCTCACACGGCTCAGGCCAACATTGAGATAGTTCATGAACTGGTGCCGCGTCTTAGTCTGGCTACCGTGAACCTTCTCCCAACCTAATCAAAATTCTTCTAGCCATGAGACGTAGAAGTAAACGGTGACTCGATATGTGCAGTACATGTCCAAGTCATCTCAGTCGACTAGCCCTCACAATCTCATCAATCGACTTACCTGTCTTGTTTAGCACTCTGCGCCTGATCTTAACATTCCTCACACGCTGAATCTACCAAATGCGAACAATGCTACGAAGACATCTACGATCGAAAACCTACAAGCTCTTAGTGTCTTTTTCTTTTAACGACCATGTCTAACAGGCATACAACAGGACAGAATGGACTGCAGCACAGTGTTTGCCATCTCCAACCACTTCACTTCCTATGATTAAACTGGAAGTACTTGGAGCAGATCAGTCCTAAAGTATCATCTTGCATTTGGCAGATGCAAGACGCATGCCAATCTACCTCTGATTCTCGTACATTACTTAATCACTCCGTTACTCTCATCAGTAATTTCCTATCTCCATAAGTAATGACTTAAGGCGGCAAACCGTCACATCCTCCTGCTTTGCAGTGTTTTAGATTTCAAAGTTTTCCTTACTTCAAGGAGAGTCAGTAGACTAACATCTACGTCCTTTTCGGATTCGACGTGAATGCTGGGCAACTGAAGTGTTTCTGTGGCCCAGTTAAACTGTTCTTTAAAGTGTTCCGCACAACATTCTAGCTGTCGTTCCTGGAAGGTTATCGGTATCCCATCCTTTTCGGTGATAGTTCCACTAACAATTATTTTCTTCTTACGCGTATCCCTATTAAGCTTAAATAGTTGCCCGGTGTTACCCACCGCTGGTGCCTTCTCCTTTCGCTTTTGTCATCCACCACTGTTCGCGATCGACGCGAAGACTGTTGGTCAGTTTACGTTCAATTTGCTTCCGCTCTTCATTGTGGTTAGAGCCAGCTGGAATCAATCTTCTCGTATCAGTTAGTTCCGATGACTTCGCGGGAATCCAATGATGTTCGCTAACCTTCAGGTGTAGCTTACCGACCGTCCTAACTACTGTTTCTACAGCAGACTTGATATCATGCCAGCTTTCCACAGGATGAACAGTGCTGTCACGTTCAGATAAGTGCTTAACTACCTCCTCCCTAAAAACGTACTTGGGCTCCTCATCTTCCAGTTGAGAATAAACAGGCTTTATTTACGCCTGTTTTCTGCTACTAGTAATATGGAGACATACATGAACCCGCACCACCTCGTAATATAAGTCATAACTGGTACTCCAGAAAGCGGTAATCCTCTACTGACCGTCTCCAACGATGGCTTATAGCAACATGATCTGTCTGTGTCCGTCGCTGGCATGGTGTTGGGGGACGCCATGAGACAGTGTCTCCCCTTGTGCCTAAAGTAAGTGCTGGCCAGAAACAAATGATTGTTAGAACATAGTTGTACGAGACGATCTCAGATGTCGGTTCATTGGCATGGGAGTTCGTAATACCCCCAAGATGCTTTTCCGATTGACTCAGCTCAGCTTTCTTACTTGAGCTTTAAATTCACCCGCCATTATGACTACGTCTGAACATTTTGCTTTTGTCAGCGAAATTCACAGCTTCTCATAAAATCCATCTTTTACATCATCCAAAGTGCAGTCGGTCGGTGTGTAAGTAGAGATTACGAATAGGCATTGACTAGTCCAGTCTCACAATCTTACAGATCCATTCAGTAGAATATCACATAGACTGATGTTGATTAGTATCCAGTCGAGAAGCTCACTTTCTACTCAACAGCTCAATGCTATACCTACACCAGCTAGCCATTGGGTCTCAAAATATTCTTAAGGTCAATGTTGAAGATCCACTACTGTGGTCAGGTGAGGTCAGTTTAATAACCACGTTGGGGTCCTAAATGGGTGTCTTAGAGACACAGTATGCATCAATGGCTAGAGGCTCCAGAATTTTGGTGAGCAATGGTTGTTGTCCCACTTGGGATATGGTTTGGACGTTGAAAGCTCCTACATGAAATCGATGGCGGGGTTTTTTGAGACTAGTAACTAGGTTCCGACGGCTTTGATTGTTCGCAGTGATCGCAGAATGAGAGGTCGGGTAGAGCGTAAGAGGCCTAGTACTGGTATCAGGAGGTAAAAAAAAAAGAGAAGACAGTTGACGAGAATAGGTTGTTTGATCGGGTCGTGCATGCTACTGGAAGCGTGCAGGTGGTTAACACTTCCCGGCTGCTCACACCGTGGAAAGCTATTTCTTCTTAAGGTACCTGAAATAGAAAAACACTTGTGTAACTCAAAGCCCATGGGACAATCTGCTCAAGGCCTGTCACACACGACCTTTTGTGAGCTGTTGTATTGAGGTTTGGTTGTTCTAACGCTGGATAGAAAGAACCCATACCAGTGGCTCCGGAAGACCGTGGGGCAGAGAGGGATGTGGTATTTTAGGGGCCAACCCTTCCCTACAGTGAAGGCATCGTCAGCGTGACACTGCTGGTTATCTAAAGGGAGCGCCTTACTGCTGTCACACCCCATGCAGCTAACAGTACTACTTCGTCCTTGGACTTCGACCGTAATGAAGCAATTTGTACTACAACGGTAACTGCTTTACGTCTTTTTACGTCTATTTTAAGCAGCCATTTCCCACAGTCGTGCAATGAACGGGATTTAGCGGATTGCTGAACAGTAAACTACTCTTATATATATATTCGTATATCTCATCAGCATCAAAGATCGCGTAAGTTTGCAAGTACGGAACGGACCTTCTGTATCCCAACTGAGATTTCGTAGATAACCAACGCATTCAGGTTGATGGAGTTTCTCAAGAAAGTGAAATGGTCAAAACACACCACTTTACATCCCATCCTCAAAGCAGGAGTTAGTGCTGACCAACCCTGAGACATCATTACACACTTCACAGATGCAGAATGCATGCCAACACTCGAATGCTTGCACAAGATGTTGAAAAGACCCTGCACTTTGTCACCATCTTTCCCTAGTAGGTCTTTGTCGTCTATATACCTTTAGTGAACCAGTAGCCTTCCCTGAGAAGTTGTAGGGTTATATCCATCACCACATCAGTAGCTAAGTTAAATAAGAATAATAATAGTGGCTGTCCCTAGTGGATTCATTGGTTGTTGTTATTTCAAACAAAAGCTGCCTAAACCCTTTCACAGTTGCATGAATACTAGTTGAGGGCCTTGGTTAGCATAAGATACTTGCTCGCCATTTTCTTCACAGTCAAATATTGCGAAACACCTAAATCAACAGAGTCGAATTTTGCCTTTGTCTGTGAATACACCTAAAAAATGAGTATTAATGTTCTGTTGTTCTGAAATCAGTGGAGTTGTGACATAGGTTTAGACACTCGGTTCTCGAGCGATGAATTGCGTTCCAAGCTTTCACTTTTCTTCGACTTGGACATCCGAGTGGCATCGTAAGACCTCGCGGAGTATGCATGGTCCATTAGGTTCACCCCTATCAAGTCCATTATTGGCATAGTCGCTACGAGGCTGATTGCCTGTGCTACTCAAGGTAAAGTCTGTTGTCTTTGAAACCTTGCCTTTTTTTCTTTCACTAGTGGTATTTCTATAAAAACCAAGAGTTCACCATTGTGACCGCTAACATTTTCTTTTCTTTATAATAAAAACGAATCGGATAAATACTTCAATCAGCGCTATCATTTGATTTTACTGTTAAACGTCAACTGGCTTCACAGGATGATTTAGCACGTCTCCTCCAAAACACCAAAGATGTAAGTAGCTAAGATACATTTTATTTTGCTTGGTAATACACTGGATTATAATGTATTTTACTTATTTTAGGTGAAAGCCAGTATAATCAGTCTCTGGGTATTTTCCCTGTTGACTTCCATAGTATTACTTCAAACAGAGTTGACAATATTCTCTTTCAGCCTTGAATGCCTGTATGTGAATTATAAATGAGATCTTCTGCACTCAGCATGCGGAACAAGATACGGATATTCAACACCAACGTCAAGTCAGTGCTCTTGTATGGCTCAGAGACTTGGCGCGTCACGAAAGGCATTTCCAATAAACTGCAGACATTCATCAACAACTGCTTACGCTCGCTACTGAAGATCAGATGGCCAGAAAAAATCAGCAACAAGGAACTCTGGGAACGAACCAACCAAGAAGCTATCACGCAACAAATATGCAGGAAGAAGTGGAGATGGATTGGGCATGCACTGAGAAGGCCGACTGGGGACATCACGCGTCAGGCCCTCGAGTGGAATCCCCATGGGAAGCGACGAGTTGGACGTCCGAGGTGAGGGTGACATGGAGGAGGTCGCGCGAGGAGGAAATGAGAGCTTGTGGGCTGTCGTGGGACCAGGTTCAAAAGATCTCAGAGGACAGAGTGTACTGGAGGCGTGCTACTGAAGCCCTATGTTCCACTAGGAACCCAAGGGACTAATAATAATAATACTTACTAGGCACGCCTTTCAGTGACAGACATTGCCATAAGACTTCTCGATCAACGGAGTCAAATGCCGCCTTCAGGTCGAGAAATACAGCTATTGTCGGGCGTCTGTAAGCATGCCTATGTTCCAGGACCTGGCGCAGTGTGAATATTTGGTCGATACATCCACGGCCAGGTCTAAAGCCTGCCTGGTTTTCTCGGGCTTGCTGTTCCCGAGCTCCACTCAGGCGTCGGAGAATTATAGAACTTAGGATCTTAGACACTATGTTTGTCAGGCTGATTCCTCTGTGGTTATCACAAGAGGACTTCTCGCCTTTCTTGAAGACTGGGATGATGAGTGACTTAGACCAGTCGGAGGGGATCGTATTTGATTCCCATATACTGGCTAACACTTCCGTTAGCCTGACTAAGAGAACTCTACCACCATTCTTGTATACCTCAGCAGGTAGTCCGTCTGGTCCTGCTGCCCTTCCCCGTTTCAGGCTACCTACCGCTTTCTCAACTTCTTCTAGTGTTGGGGGACCTGTCTCTATGTCCCATTCAGGGTCCGACTGGATAGCGGGCAGCGCAATGGTGGCTGGAGGCCAGTTAAACTGTTCCTCAAAGTGTTCTGCCCATCGTCCCAGTCGCCTTCCCTGCGAGTGAATCGCGATCCGTCCTTCTCCGCTATAACCTCACTAACTGTTGTTGACCATTTCCCCCCAGTCTCCTTAATAAGTCTAAATAACTGTCTACTGTTACCGATCGCCGCTGCCTTTTCCATCTCTTTAGCCTTTGCTGCCCACCACTGTTCACGATCGTTGCGCAGACTTTTCGTCAGTTATTTTTAAGTTGCGCTCGCTCTTCATTGTACTCAGAGCCTGCAGGGATGCATTCACGTGCATCCATTAGTTTGGAAGAAGCTGCTGATATCCACTGGCTCTTTTTAGCCATTATCTTGGAGTCGGCTACAGTCTCCAGTGCTGCTTTTACAGTAGACTGAAGATGGCACCAAGCTTCTTCTGGATGAGTGACAGTCTTTTGTTCCGATAACTGCCTAGCCAACTTCTCACTGAACACGGCTTTGGTGTTTTCGTTGTCCAGCAGAACTCGTAGTGGTTTTGTTGCCAAATTTTTTCTACGTCCATTGAGACGCAGGCATATACGTGCTCGGACCAACGCATGATCGCTGTCCAAACACGTACTCCAGAAGGAGCGGCAGTCTTCCACCGATCCTCTCCAGCGATGACTAATAGCAATGTGGTCTATCTGTGTCCATCGCTGAGTCGAGCTCGGTGGACGCCAGGTCAGACAGTGCCTTTCTTTATGTCTGAAATTTGTGCTGGCTAAAAATAGGCGGTTATCTGAGCATAGTTGTAATAGGCGATCACCGTTATCTGTACGTTCAGCTGGGATTCCGAAAGTGCCACCTAAGTGCCTTTCTGCCTCACTCAGTCTACCCACCTGTGCGTTGAGGTCACCTGCAACAACCACTACGTCCGAACGTTTGGCTTTCGAGAGGAGGTTAGACAGTTTATGGTAGAACTCGTCCTTCACTTCATCCGAACTACAGTCAGTGGGTGCGTAAGCAGAGATTACAAAGAGACAACGGCGAGTCTCACTATTCCTTTTAGTTCTCACTGTGCCGTTCAGCCTCATAGCGCAGAGGCGACTATCAACTGGGATCCAGTCTAGTAGTGAGTTTTCTGCCCTGGTGCTTAATGCTATACCTACACCTGCAAGACCACGAGAGCTAGCTATCGAATCTCCAGAAACTCGAAGGGTGAATTTTGCAGATTCACCAGATTGGTCAGGAGAGGTCAGGTGAATAACCACACTTGGGTCCTGTATGCGTGTCTCACAAACACAGCACACATCCATGCCCGAGTTGCTAGAGTCTTTGCCAACGAAGCCTGTTGGCCAATTTGACGGAGGGTGCGGACATTGAAGGCTCCAATATGTAATTTGGAGCGTGGTTTAAGGAGACCAGGGATGCTGTTCTGTGGACTCAGATCGTTGTCGAAGGCTGCAGAGGTAGGAGAAATTGAAGATGATGCAGCATCATTAATTAAGAGACGTGAAGGAAGATTAGAAGGTAATGATGGAGGAGGAGGATAGCAGTCAGAAGAAACTTGGGTGCTGACAGAGTTGTGAGGGCGGTTGACACTTCCCGGCTGCCCACACCGTGGAAGGCTATTTCTTCTTAAGGTACCTGAAAGAGATTTGTGTGACCGCAGAGCCCATCGGACATCTGCTTGAGGCCTGTCACACCCAGCCTTTTGAGTATGATTATTTTGAATTTTGTATTTTTGGGGCCGGATGGTCGAAAGGAAACGACAAGTGAACCAACACCGCCGGCCCGGCAGACCGTGGGGCGTGGTGGAGTGTGTTATTTTTGGGGCCGACCTTTTCTAACCCCCCCTTCCACTGAGAAGGCAGCATCAGCTGGCACTGCTGGTCATCCAAGGGAAACACCTTACTGCTGTCACACCCCATCCAGCTAGCAGCAGTACGACTTCGCCCTCAGACCCCCATCATAGTGTAGCAATTTACACTATAACGGTAACTGCTTTTCGTCTAACCACTACCCAACAGACCTTTCTGGTATGGTAGGACCTCGAGGGAACAAGCGTTCCACCAGCATAGCTCGTTGGGTCATTGTGATATGCAAGCCCGACCACCACGTCAAGGTAGCAGCTATCGGTCGGGATCTTCTACATCAGAACATTCCCAATGCATACTCAACGTATTAGTGTATTTATTTATTCACACTGGTATTTTCCTTCTGATTATTATATTGGACGCAGTTGATCGGTTTTTTGTCAAACGGATCTCTCAATATTCCATCAAGCTTCTATTCTATGTTATTCGCTTGGTTGTATCTGGCAATCGAACTCAGGAATCGCATCTGGTCGTATTTGGTACTCGTCAGCATTCCATTGATTGATGGAGTTCCCACTGGAACTCGAATCCCTCACCCACCTTTTCAAACAGCGTAGCGTTACACCCTTGGGTACTAAATCACCACAGTCTCCTCCTGTGCAACAAGTATCACCTGTCATTTATTCATCCTCTTCATTTCTCGGTCAATCTGGTTCAGTTTAATAGTCAACCGAAAATTATAATGATCAGTAATAAACAGTTGATAATTGTTGCACAAGGGGTGGTTCTCATGATTGAATAATCTAGTGAATGGAACTTCAGTGTTTGGAGCGATGGTTGGTAGGTTCGACTATCATACACAGAATACAAGAAGTGCTAGGGTAATAATGAAACTCGGGATGATTATTAGGATGTAGGTAACCCTTGTAAACACATCTGCACCACTGACATCGATTCTTAGCCATATAATCCAGAGTTTCAAAAAACCGGTTCCCGTTGTAGTACGAACCTCAACTCGGAAGACTATATTCTTCTACTAGCCTCAGACCAGCGGTCAAAAACTTTATGAACTGATACCATACTGTAGTCTGACCGCTTCCGCTTGTAACGCATGTACTCTGGCTATCAGGCAGAAATCTTTATGCCCTGTATTTACAGTTGTCCCAGTCCTATAGAGAAATCTCTTTAGAGAATCGTGTGTAGATTGTTGTTGTGATGCTCAGGAACTTTAAGTCATTCCTGTCATGCTTTTCTTTTAAATTACCGTTTATTCTCTAATATCTCTATTTACCTGTAATTTGTTTCATTCTTTACAATATGAAATTATTCAGCTTTTGGAATGTCATGAAAAGTCGTCAACTGTTGTTGAGGAAATATGCAAATTATCTAGACCTTTGTTTTTGCTACTTGCTCAAAGTATTAAAGATGGCAACGAGGCTAGTGAGTTGGGAAGCTTCACATCATTCAGGTGAGTTGATGACTTTAATAAATCTTACCCTGAACATCATACATAATACCTTTTTTGATATGTTCCGCAAGTCGTATGCAAGCAAAATCATAAAGATTATACACGTCGCATAAGAAGTGGCTATCGTTACTTGGTGACCTTTCGTGTTTAAAGCGGTCTGCCCTTGGTTCGATTCTTAGCGCAAACAACATCACTCACTGAGACGCAGGTACATCCAGCTTACGAGTCCGAAATAGGACGAAACGTTCGTCGTGCATTTCAGTGCTTGCCACTATTCGTCGTTAACGTATACATATGTGTTGACTTACAAATTCAAAGTTTTTTTCAATGCCAAACTGTCTCAATCTGACATTAGACAGCAAAATAATTTTAGGCACTGACCACTTTAATCATGTGAAATTTCTTATTAGTCTTATTTTTTTGATGACTGACGTAGTTTCGATACAGATGCCTAAGACTCACCAACTTACCTACATATCGCAGTACCTATTCAGTGCATTACTTGAAAAAGATAATTATTGTAATTCAGTGGTTTCTGAAGACTAAGTAATTTGGTGACCATTTCCCTCTTAATATCAATAGTGTGTAATTAAATCACTTCGTAAGCTGTGTGGAGCTGTAGCAGAGCGATCTAGACGATTGACTTCCAACCGGTGAACCAGGAGCCCTAACGCCGCTTCCTTTTTGATGATGTCCCGACAACCAGGTGGAAATCATTAATTATCACAAAATGGATGTGGCTCATTGCTTAGTGAATAGTAATGATTGCATTTACTCAAAAACTTTAGTCTAAATTAGTTTTTCGACTATTTGGATGCGAGGTGTACAACATAAGGCAAGGGAAGTAAGTTTGTAAAACCGGTTGTGGCATACATATTAAGCCGTTTTCCACCCCGATGCACTACGTTTAGTTGAATCAGGCTGAGTCATCCATCCATCCAAGTCAACATAGAACAAGACATTACTGCCTAACGGTCCGAGTTGCCACGGCTCATATCAGTACACCAAGTAAACGGCAGTGAAGTGGAAGATAAAGAAAAGAAAATTCAGTACTAAAAAAGAGAAAGGAAGAATGAGGAATGGTGAGATTTGCAATAGCTACGTTCAGATGAGGATAATGTGTGTATACATCTGCGCCACTGACATCGGTTCTGAGCCATATCACCTAGAGTCTCCAACCATTGGTTCTTCTTGTCCCACCGACCCCAACCACCTAGTCCGCATTACCCCACGTGGCTCAAACCAACATTCAAAGACTTCATACATTGATACCATGTTTTAGTCTGGTCGCCTCAAGCTTTTTTCCAGCCTGAAGCTACGTTGGACAACATTGTATGACGAGACAATCGACGACTAGGCATACGTAACACGTGTCCCAACCATATCAGTCGATGAAGGTTCACAACCTCGTCAACTGACTTACCTCTTCTCCCTACAACTCTACTCCTGAGCCTGACTTCTGCGTTACTCACCTGGTGACACCACGGAATACGGCCTATACTACGAAGGCAACGGTGGTCAAACACTTGAAGCCCTCTTATTTCTTCCACCTACAATGACCATTTTTCATAGCCAAACAGTAGAACAGAACAGACTGCTGTGCAGTACATGCGATCCTTAATGGACAATCAGATATCACGGCGGCGCCATAGGTGGCGTAAGTTGGCAAAAGCCAGTCGAGCCTTTTGTATTTGTGCAGGGATTTCATCGGGACTGAGCCACTAGAGCAGGGCTGATCCTACTTCCCAGGTAAGTGAAGTGGTCGACACACTCAACCACTTCACTCTCCATTGTTAGCCGTGGTGGGGCACCGTTGAAAACCAATTCTGGAGCAATAATTTGCATTTGGGTAGTGAGAAACGCATCCCAAACATTCTCGAATTGTCACTCAAAGTGTTTAGAAGACTCTGCATGTTTTCAGCGTCTTCACCTAACAGGACTATGTCATCTGCATATTCTAAATCTAAAGAAAATTCTCCTGCGATTAGGTCAAGCTCTGTGTAATCAGGTGACGAGAAGGAGACCTCCATAAGAATATCTATGATAAAGTTGAACAAGAATGGAGAGTGGGCAGCCTTGACGGACACCACTCGACGAGCATAGCTCACCTGGGCATCTCACCATAGACTCTAACACGCCCACAAGTGTTCGAGTAGAGAGCCTTCCATAAGGTGACGTACCTACTGGGTACACCTTTCAGTGAGAGACATTGCCATAAGACTTCTCGATCAACGGAGTCGAATGCCGTCTTCAGGTCGAGAAATATGGCTTGAGAGGTATTAGAAAACAACCAGACTACTATGTTTCAGTTTTTATGTCTGACTATCGGCCTAGACATTATCGGGACATCTACGCTTACTTATTGAGATCTTCAAAACTACCGAAATTAATGGTTGAAGATTTTAGACGACTTTACATTAAATCATGTAGCAGTGAAGTAATTACTTCCTTTGTTGATATTTGATACTTGTAATTCCCCGTTTCCATATGGGGTCAAACTGCTCGACTTCTGTTGATAGATGGGCTCCTGTGCCTCAATACCCCTGGGTATTCATTATGCGGAATCCAGGAGGTACTTTTCCTCCCATTTGGGACTCATCGTCTGAATGTACCTACCTGCATTCCAGTGAGTGATGTTGTTCCCACTGAGACTCGACCCAAGTACTCTTCGCTTTAAACGCCAAAGCGCTATCTACTTGGTCACTGGGACATCCTGATTGTGTTTTCAGTTTATATTGTAGAAATTTATTCTTGTGACCTTTTCTCTGAAATTTATATGACTTAGTATCATTGTGGTTGACTTAGGCTTCTTTTGGCTCCAATGATCATATAAAGTATAAAAACTTAATTTTTCAGTTTCCTCAGATTTCCTGTGTTTCTCGTTGTTTTAGGGAATGCCTGATCTGGATTCTTACACATCTGTTATCTTGTTCAAATTCTCGTCTCAATCGGTTATCACTGATACGAAGTTGGTTTAATCTACCCCCTCCTTCCTTAGAATTTATGCCATCAGAAACTACAGAATGAACTGTCAAATATGAGTTCTACTGACGAATTACTCTTGGCTTATGCTTGCCAAAAAAACCTGATGTTTAAATTGTTACCTAAAATTCATGTTGTGGAATCCCCACTTCAGTCCGCAGTTGATTCTAATCTAAGAAAAAATGCTTCACTTCATGTTCCATACACCTGTGTCATAATGAACGAGAATATCCACACTGTCAATCAAATACAAAATTTGCCTTATTGTATTGAATGTCTCATGGAATTGTTATTTCGTATAAATCCAGCTTTACCTCAAAAACATTCATCTTCAGAAGAGATTGGTTCCCATCTGCGTATGCTGATAGACGGAAAGCAAAATGAAATGAGCGGACAAAGCGAATTGACTACTCATGCTGACCTGTTTTTAAGTTTAATTTCGGTGAGCTTTATTAAATTTTACCTTATTTTAAAGATCATGGTTTGTATAAATGTTTGCCAACGGAAATTAGTAAGTAGAAAGCTCAATATTTAAAATTTGTTAGGCTAGTAATCAGTCGTATGTAGGTTCTATGTATTATTTATCAAATTGAGAAGCATGCAACAGTGCTTGTTTCTATAGATTTTTAATTTTCATTTGCCTAAATAACTATTTTACATTCTACAAATATGTGAGTCTGCTAAGCCACGGTTCACAATTCCACCATATTAGTAATGTAGAAGTCAGGTGTAGATTTTCGACGAAATAGTTAAGTCACTTGATGAGACTGCAGACCTACATTGACTCCAGTATTAGTTACACATGTCTAGTCACCGTCTACTCTTTTACACAGTGTTAGCAGAAGCAATTTTAGGCTAGAAAAAGGTTAGAAGTGATCAGATTACAACATGTTATCAGTTCTTAAAGTTTTTGAGGTTAGTAGAAGAACATAGACTTCCCCGTTGGAGTGTACATTGCAGTAGAAACCGGTGTTTTGAAACTGGATTATATGGCTAAGAATCGATGTCAGTGGTTCAGATGTGTCCACAAGGCTAACCTTCATCCTAATCATCATCCCGAGTTTCCTTACTGCTCCAGCGTTTCTTGTTCTCTTTTCATGGCTTCCTATCACTTTAAATGTCTTATTCCTTATGTTTGTTTTTCGTAATTATTTATTATTATTTTTCCTTGGGTTTCTAGTGAAACATAGAGCTTCAGTAGCACGCCTCCATTGCACTCTCTCCTCTTCAGTCTTTTAAACCTGTCGCCACAACCTTTCATTTCTTCCTCACATGATCTCCATGTAATCCTCAGCTGGGACGCCCAACTCGTCCACCTCCACCTTTTGATTCCACTCGAGGACCTGGTCTGGCGCGTGACGTCCCCAGTCGGCCTTCTCAGTGTACGCCCAATCCATCTCCACTTTCTTCTGCATATTTGTTGGGCGATGGATTCTTGGTTGTTTCGTTACCAGCCAGATTTCCTTGCTGTTTACTCTTTCTGGTCATCTGATCTTCAGTATCGAGTGAGCCTAGGCGGCAGCTGTTGATGTGATATATGTTTGTAGTTTGTTGGAAATGCTTTTCGTAACGCGCCAAGTCTCTCAACCATCACATAGAAGCACTGACTTGACGGAATTGGTATTAAAAATCCGGATCTTGTCCACGCTTTATGCTGAGTGCAGTGCAGTAGATCTCCACACTGATTATTTCAGATTAATGAAGGTCTGTCTAGCTGTCTTTCTGATCCTGGCTTTGACGTCCTCATCTGTGCCGCCACCTGTAGTTGAGAGGATGCAGCCTAAGTAGGTAGGTGAAAGAGACAACTTCCTCTAGATTTCTCCCATTGATGGTGACTGGTGCCTCTTGTTGTTGTTGTTGTTGGTCGGGTATCTTCATCACCTCCGTCTTCTTTACATTCACATGAAGGAAGTCCCGTCTTCGCTATCCTGCCTCTTCTGTCAACTTGTTGGTTTTTGCCTGCAGATCTTCGAGCTTGTGCGACAAGACATTAAACATAAATCATCATCGGCGATATTCAAATCTTCCAGGGTCTTCTCATCAGTATAGTCAACGTATGCACACCTTCTCGCTCCTCACAGTTATCTGTTGCTTGATCCAGTCCAGTCCAGTCCAGTCGACCACAATCAGAAAGATTATCAGTGATAGTAGGCAGTTTTGTCTTACTCCTGTCTTCACTTCAAAAGCGTCACTGAGCATTCCATTGTGAACAGCTTGGCATATGGCATTTTCATAAAGCTATTGAATGAGGTTGATAAAGATTTGTGGCACTCCGTAGTGTTGAAGCAGCTGCCTGCCAAATTACTTCTCGGTAGACACCTAGGTTGGTCTTTTCAAAGTCGATGAAGTTGAGGTAGAGAGTTGACTGCCACTCCATGCTTTGTTCTGTGATGATGTGTAGCGTTGCAATTTCATCCGCACATAACTTGTTCTTCCTGAAGCCAGCCAGCCTGTTCCGGTCGTAGTTTTGAATCTAGCATATCCTTCAGTCTCTCCAGGATGATGCAGCTTAATATTTTGCTTTGGGTGGACAGGAGCATCATTCCACGCCAGTTCTTGCAAACAATTAGGTCTCTCTTCTTGGGAGTTTGACAAGGTAGCCCTTCTTCCAATCAAACACCAGGTACCTTTCCTGCCTTCCTTCCAAACCTTCTGCAATAGTGATGTGAGCATGTCCGCTGTTGTCTCTGCGTCTGTTTTTAGTGCTTCCGACGGAATTCTATCTGGTCGTGCTGCTTTCCCGGATTTCAGCAGTTTTATGGCATTCAGGACTTCTGCCTTTGTCGGGGGCCTGTGTTCAGCGATAGTTCTGTGGCTGGGCTGCTGGTAGTATTTCTGGACGAGTTGCAGGTGGTGGTGGTAGTCGATTCAAGAGCTTGTCGAAGTGACCAGTTCATCGTTTCCTTTGTTTCTCTTCTTTGGTAATTAAGTTTCCTTCCCTATCCTTCACTGGCTTCATCTGTGTTGATCTCTTCCTTTCAGATAGTAACCTCGTTATTTGATATAATGTTGTCAGGTCTCTGTCTCTGTTTAACCATCTTCCTCTCCCTCCTCTACCAGCTTCCACGTGTCCGTCGAGATGCATTCCTTGACTTGCTTTTTCTTCCTTCCAACACGGTTATGCAGGTTTCCTCCCACATAGCTTTCAAAGAGTTCCAGTGTTCTTCCACTCAGCTTCCTTCAGGGGTGTTGCTCAATGTCGCCTGCTTTTTCCTGATGGCTGACATGAAGATGTCCTTTGTAGTTTCATCCTTCAGTTCAATTTCCATTCTGGGTGTTCAACTTGAACTGTGGTCTATCACCAACTTTTTCTTCGAAGGCTTTCAACTTGATCGTGAAGGTAGGTTCCTTTCAATAGATAGTGAGTGGTGTGAACCTACATCTACTCCCCTTTTTGATCTGATCTTGTGTCCAGTAGGCTGTGTCTCCACTTCCTTGAGATTGAGATGAAGTCGATCTGATTCTTAGTGTGTCCATCTGGTGAAATCGAATCCATGTCGCCGCCTTGCGAATATTCTTGTGTTTGTATACACTGCCTGACTCCAATCACCAAGTCATTAAATGAGCAGAAGTCTGCAAACAATTCTCCATTCTCGTTCATTTCACCAAGTGCCTCTCAACCCATGATTAGTTCTCTTCCCTGTTGTCTGCTCCCAGTATGGCATTCATGTCACCTATTAAAACTTTGATGTCACCAACTGGGTCTTGTTCACTACTGATTGCAGTTGTCTGTAGAATTGCTCCTTCTTCTCTTCATCTGCATTATTTGTAGGTGCATAGCGTAGCGTAGCATTGAATGATTGTGACTTTCTTTCCTTTTGAGTTGAATCTTGCTGTCATGATCATGATGCTGCTGGAGGAGATTGGCTCCACTGCATGAGAGCCTTCGATGTTCTTGGAGGTGTAATGATAGCCACTCCATAACTCAGTGTGTTGTGCTCGTGGTTGTCGTCTTGGTGACAATATCGGAGTAGATTGTTGACTCTCTAGTTAACAGTTTGGAGAGTCCACTTCCATTCCACCTGCTTTCGCAGATTCCTAGCACTTCCATGTCATATCTCCTCATCTCTTTTGCAATGTGGTCAGCCTTGTTAGGTTCATACATTGTGCGGACAATGTATGTCCCTATGCTTGCTTTTGCTTTCATTGAGAGAAGCGAAGACATATAGTCCAATTGGTTTCCCGAAGGAATTCACCAACCGGCGTCATTTCGTCTCTCCGAATCCAGCTAGGAGTATGTTTGTTTTATGTTTTATATTTTCTTTGTGCTTTGAAGTTTCTTCCTGTCCACCCCAAGTAAAATATTAAGCCGCATCATCCTAGAGAGGCTTAAAGACGCACTGGATTCAAAACTGCGACCGGAACAGGCAGGCTTCAGGAAGTACAAATCATGTGCAGACCATATTGCAACGCTTCGTATCATCATAGAACAGAGCATAGAATGGCAATCACCTCTCCACCTCAACTTCATCGACTTTGAGAAGGCCTTTGACAGCGTCGACCGAGAAGTAATTTGGAAACTGCTTCAATACTACGGAGTACCGCAAACATTTATCCGCCTCATTCAACAACTATATGAAGATGCCACATGCCGGTCAAGTAATTCACAATGGGAAGCTCAGTGATGCCTTTGAAGTGAAGACAGGAGTGAAACAAGGTTGCCTACTATCCCCCATGATATTCCTGATTGTGGTCGACTAGACTGGATCATGCAGCAAACAGTAGGCAGCGAGAAGAGGGGGATACACTGGACTGCGGAAAAGAACCTAGAAGACTTGGATTTCGCCGATGACTTATGCCCGATGTCACATAAACTTGAAGATCTGCAAGCAAAAACTAACAAGTTGATAGAAGAGGCAGCTAAGACGGGACTTCAGGTGAATATAGAGAAGACAGAAGTGATGAAGATACCGCACCACCACCATCAACAACAACAACAAACTCCAATCACCGTCAACGGGAGAAACTTGAAGGAAGTAACCTCCTTCACTTATCTAGGAAGCACTGTTTCAACTACAGGCGGAACGGACGAGGACGTCAAAGTCAGAATCGGAAAAGCAAGACAGGCGTTCATTAGCCTGAAACCAGTGTGGAGATCTTCTGCACTCAGCATGCGGAACAAGATACGGATTTTCAACACCAACGTCAAGTCAGTGCTCTTGTATGGTTCAGAGACTTGGCGCGTCACGAAAGGGATTTCCAATAAACTACAAACATTCATCAACAACTGCTTACGCTCGCTGCTGAAGATCAGATGGCCAGAAAGAATAAGCAACAAGGAACTCTGGGAACGAACCAACCAAGAAGCTATCACGCAACAAATATGCAGGAAGAAGTGGAGATGGATTGGGCATGCACTGAGAAGGCCGACTGGGGACATCACGCGTCAGGCCCTCGAGTGGAATCCCCATGGGAAGCGACGAGTTGGACGTCCGAGGTGAGGGTGACATGGAGGAGGTCGCGCGAGGAGGAAATGAGAGCTTGTGGGCTGTCGTGGGACCAGGTTCAAAAGATCTCAGAGGACAGAGTGTACTGGAGGCGTGCTACTGAAGCCCTATGTTCCACTAGGAACCCAAGGGATTAATAATAATAAATAATAATTGAAGTTTCTTTAGCAACTGGATTGGTTTTACGGTGTAGGGTTGCTAGCCCTATGCCCAACCTTCTTTGTTTATCCGGGCTTAGGACCGGCTGGTAACTAGTGAACTAGTTAACCAGGCGGGGTTGTTTAATTTTTATACTGGTGCATATTAGCTAGGTTTGTTGTTATAAGGTGTGGCAACTTCCACCGTAAGGAGTAATACCATTTTCTGTGTCGGTATTGACTGCTTGATTCTGAATCATGTGTAGTGAACGCTTGTTGCCTATATTTAAGACAATATTATATGTTGGAAATTTTAATATATTCTTTTTCCCGATACTTTTTCGCCTCCCTCTGTACTGCATATTTTCCTGCCTTAATCACTCTGACCCTCTCACGGGCTATTCTTTCACTTACTTTATGCTGATTTGTTTCTACCCGTAACTTCACTTCCATTGTATATGAGCCAATGAGCTGTATCTTTGCGATCATGCTGTCTTCCTATTGAAGTGAACTTCAACTTAGTGACGCCTCTTTCCTTGTGTTAATCGAGGGATTGTAGAGAATCGTGTTACATTTGTCATTGCGACCATATCGGGCTTTCAAAATGTAGTATAAACGCAAATCTTGACAACTAACCGAGATAAAGACAGTTTTGTTCATGTGAGTTGTTTCTGTTTGCTTTGTTGTAGATTGAAAACATATCTGTATGTTAACCTCTTATCAAAGCACGTATTGACTACTTATAAGGTATACTTTTGCTTTACAAAAAACGAATGTAACAGGTAGGCATATGTCATAAGTCTTTCTGAACTTATTAATAAACTTTCTATGCTTCAAGCATGGTAATATCCAAAGGGATTCCTAATCCTCTAAAATTGTTCTCCGCTAAATATTCAAGGATATTTCGTTTGTTAACGAGCTAACAAATCATTTCGGGCTTCTGGAATGCAACTCAAATAGCGTAATTTGAAATAAAAAAAGACCATCGAGAAAGCCTAAGAAGTAATACTTGAAGTTATATTTTCTTTCGAACACAATACTTAAGGGTAGCTATAAATGTTGATTGATCTACATAGTGTTAAAACATGGATTTCGGTGTAAAAACTGAACCATATGACCAATGCAGCAGTTGGTTGTGGAATCTCAGGTGGGAGAGATGACCCAATATTTCAGGTTATAGACGTTTATTGACTCATGTGACTGGAACATGTAATGCACATGCCTATTCACGCATGCTCCTATGGGGTATGTTGCCTGAAGTGGGATGAGGTTAAAAAGACGTTGGAGGTTGCCAGACTGAATCACGGCATCGATGCATGTAATCTAACGTTTCCGTTGATTCCTGTAAGGAAATGTAGACTTGTTGTTTTGGGTTGTTGTGATGACTGAAGTCGATGTTTGAAGAGTTCAGGTGATATGAGTGATAATTGATGTTGGTGGCACAAATGCATCTGCACCTTATGTTGATTTTATTCATTATTTTATATTTCATTATTGACCTTAACATGTTTCCTCTCCTTCTGTCTTTCCATGACTTTTAGTGTTACTGATTGAGTGTTTGAATGTTGATGGTGTATGGTGGTGTATGGTAGCTTCGATAGTGAGGTAGTAGTGATAGGTAGCTTTTTGGTAGAGATTGACTAGTTTCCAACATTTAGTTTACTGCAGTCTGTAACTGTGTTTTTTCTTGTGTTTGTACTTTAACTAGTGTAACATATGAAGTCATTTGGCTTCTAAGCTTGTCACATATAAGTTTTTGAAGTCGTTCTTTGGTTGATTTAATCGATTTTCCGATAGTTTCCAGTTGTGTGATTGATATTTTTATGATAGGTCTGTATTTCTGTCGACCGACGAAGTATCAAACTAGGATTTTGCAATCTACCAGTGCTCCGAGGTTTTAAATCTTCTACTAGATGATGTTGATCCGTGATAAAAGCGTCTTTCTAACCTGTCAAGTTGTTTATTTTATTAAATCGATTATTGTTTCTTTTTGCAATCTTTTACGCTATCATATTTGTAATTGCACAACTGCTGTGGTATTTGAGCATATATATTTACTGTATTGTCCATTTATATTAATGTGGCTTAAGATTATCGTTTGAACCACAGTGTTCTACTCGTTATACTTTCTTGTACATTCATGATGCATATCTAAGTTACAAACAATTTGGTCATTTTAAGTCTATATACATGGATAGTACCGCATAAAATCACTGAATACTAAAAATTTTCGTATTTTGTCTTTTTCTCTCATAATTTAGGATATGCATTTCACTTCACAAGCTATGTTCGAATCACTAGGTAAAGTTAATGTATCACATGACGAAAAATTCATCACTGAGACCGGTACCGTCTCTGCATTACTAGCATCTGCCATGCTTGAGGGTTTAGATGATTTAATTTGGCCTCAGGATGTTAATCAAGCGTGTAATTTATTTGAAGTGAGTTATTGTTTGTATTTGTTTATTTTTGAAAAAGACGACTAGACTAGTAGCTGCTACCATGATGTAATGATTGAACTTCCATATCACGATGACCCGAACAGCTATGCTGGTGGGATCCTTGTTCTGTCGAGTTCCTACTACACTCAAAAGACAGTGGTAAAACAAAGAGCAGTTACCGTTAAAGTGTAAATTGCTATGCCGTGACCGGGTCTGGGGGCAAGGTTTTACTTCTTCCTGAACTGGGTGTGAAAACAGTAAGGTGCTTTCTTTGAATAACCAGCAATATCATGCTGATACTCCTCTCCTTTATTAGAAGGGAGAGTTAGAAAATGTCATTCCCCAAATTGACACACTGTTCCATGCCGTGCAATACTCCGCCTTTAGCGGTATAGGTTTTTCTTGTTCAGCGTTAGCTCAATGAAATCTCAATCCGAAAACCCTGAAAAGGCCGTATTTAATCGTCATCAAGCACATAGTCCATATTCTCTGGCTTCACGCAAAACTACTTCTTCTCTCCCAGATACCTTGCAGAAGCAACTTCCTCGGGTAGTATTAACCGCCTGTACTCTTCCAATCAAACATAACCAATCCTCATCGCCTTCATTTCTTGATACCAATATTAATCTAACAGTCTCCTTAACGTCTCACCCTGTAACCATTGTTAATGATCCAAGCCAGCGAAACACCATTCGTAGTCTTCATTTCTGAACTCGATGCCAAACCGGACAACAGAAATCTGCCAAAACTCTGGAATCTGGAGTCATTGATTTATGCTGTTTCTGCGACACATACATGAGACTCGAATGTAGTTATTCACCTTGACTCACCTGGCCAGTGTGTTAAGTCTGCGCAATTCACTACGCATGTCCGTAGATGTGGTGGCTAGCCCTTATGAACTCGCTGGTGTAAACATAGTGTTAAGTTCACGAACTGAAAGTTGAGAACAGCAAACTGGAAGAAAACAAATTGGTTTCAGACCTCAATGACGATACATCAGTCAGATTCTCACCTTGCGACAGTTTTCGCAACACAGGCATAGTCACTAGCGCCCAACACACCAATTTTTTTTACCTGAAGGCAGCGTTCAAATCCACTGACTGAGGATTGTTGCGATAGTGTCTGAATGTGAAGGGGGTGATGAGCAAGTATGCAGCGTTAATCAGTTCTCTCTACTGGAACTCGCACAGCCGTGTAAGAGATTATGGAGAGTTGCTGTTAGAAATAAAGACAACTCAGCGTCCATGTAGGATGTCGCAATTCCTGTTTAACTTCATTATAAATATTTTAATAGACGTCACCTGAAGTACCTCTAATTGCACAAGGATTAACACATCCTCTGTTAGAGTATCTGGTTGACTTGGAGTACGCAGATGACGTTGTCCTGTTAGGCGAAGACACTGACGAAATACAGTGTCTTTCCCACACCTTCGGGTCATGTATCTACCGGGCATTCATTTCGTTGACAGACTACCATGACTCCTCGGTCGACAAAGTCGGATGCCAGGTCGAGAAATACAGCTAGTGTCGGGCGTCAGTAAGTCTGTGTTGTAGAAACTGGTGAAGAGTGAATATCTTGTCGACTCACTTCTATGTCCAGGTGTAAAACGTGCCTTGTTTTCTCGAGTGTACCCTTCCTGAACTCCACTTAGACGTCTGATAATTACCCAACCTGGAGTCGTAGATATGTTCATCAGGTGTGACTCCCTGTGGTTATAACAAGGTTTCTCCCCCTTCTCAAAAACTGTGACATTCAGCAATTGCAGCCAATTAGTTGGGATCATATCCATATTCCAGCTAACACTTCAATTAACCTGACCAATAATCCTCCCTCGACCACCATCCTTAAATACCTTTGGCACTTGTCTGTCTGGCCTTGATGCCCTTCCTTATCTAAGGTAACTTCTCGACTTCCTTCAATATCAGATGTCCTATTTCAATATTCTATCCAGGATCTGACTATAGCAGGCAACCATCCATTAATTCAAAGAAGCTTCAGCGACTGACTGACCCTTCCTAACCGCTTTCTGAAAGTCAGCTACAGTCTTTAACGTTGTTCCTACAACAGACTGCAGATTACACTAGACTTCTCCCAGATATGTGATGTGTCCACGTTCAGATAACTGTTTAGGCAGCTGCTTGTTGAAACTAGTCTAAGTATTCTCACTTTTAAGCTGCACTCAGAATATTTTTTTGCTGTAGTTTTCCTAAGCCCATTTAGACGCAGACATTGTGGCGCTCCGACCAGCCCACGACTGCCGTCTAAACACGTGATCGAGGAGGAGCACCAATCTTCCGCCGGCCTTATCCACAGGTAGCTGATAGCAACATGATCTGCATATGTCCATCACTGAGTTGAGGTCAGATAGAGTTGAGTTCAGAAAGTAGAGTTCAGAAAGAGTTGATTGTCTGAGCATAGTCTAGTGAGTTCATTATTTTACCATTTTCTGAGTTCATCTGATTCCTTAGATAACCCGACAGAGCTAGTAATGATAACAGTTTTATTGATAATCACTTGGAATTTATTCTTAATCACTTCGTGAGAATTGTCTGTTTAAACGCAGCATAGCCTCATTACTGTAGTGACTCGTTGTACGAGTATACTCGAAAAAAGGTGCTAATTTACAAGACTAATAAGCAGAGATTTGATCTGTTTAAAAGGTTGGATTGATAAGTCACAACAACTTCATGAAAAAGGATTTTTTTTTTAACTCCTTATGTAGCTTTATGAGACTTTTGCCTGCAGAATAGGAACGCTTTGATAGCGCTTGGTCGGCTGGACGAGAAATATAACAATGAAAAATACTTGTTATTTGATTAATTCATATTGGAGTTTCATTTTCATACTACATACTAGACAATATTATTGCGGTAAGTGTAAAGCTTCTCTGTGTTATTCAAAAATAAAATCCTCAAGCTCTTATTTTTTTTTAACTTGAATTGTTTTAGGCGTTATTCAAGAGGCTTACGTGTCTACTGCAACATACTGAAAGTCGTGAGTATGTGGAATTTTTACATCAAATGTTGAATCAACTGTTAGGCATCTTAGCTTTTTATGCGAATAAACTCGGAGTAAGTGGGCCTTTTCATAATTTATTTTGCTGTTTTTTGATTTTTCGTTATTGTTCATGAGCTATACATCTGGGTTTTCCCTCGTAGTTAACTAACTAGCTTAGTATGAATATTGAGTTCTGTTTCCTGTTTTGAAACAAATTTGTGTGTAAATTTTTCACTCTCTACCTTGTTACCATAGAATTCGCTAGTGAACACAAACTAGTTAAACCCATGAATTTGAAATAGAATTTTCAAACCATTCAGCTCAGAGAACATAACACTATTAAGAAATTCCAAACTTCACTTGAAAAACCTCTTCTATGTCAGTGAATCACACTTTGTTGAACTACCTGTACAAAAAGATTTTCACTGTAAAAACATCATGTTTCTCACCTGTGTTATGAGCTGAACATCCCAGGAAACCAACATAGGAAAGTATCTAAATATTGTAAATTGGTGGATGCACTCCTAGTTAAGTAGTATTCCAAACTCTGAACCTGAAGTTTGTGTCATCAGAAGCTGCATAATTCGGTTCTAAAATAAAATGATTTACACATCGAAATGAACTCAAATGAAGACTTTACTTCTTTTGGTTTTGAATTTAGCCTACTATAAATGATCAAAAAACAAATGCTCGTGACGAATTCGGTCGTTTATTGCCTTTGTTAAACCAGCTGGAGGTTGTGATTAACCCCATGTCTCACATTATGGGCGACTCAACTTTAAATCTGTTGCGGGTTATTAAAGTTACCTTAGCTACACGTGGAGTTGTTCCGTGTAAAACCACCTCATGTTCATCAGCATCCGTGAATAACTCTTGTCTTTCTGAGTGAGTCATTAATTTATTATTGTAATAACCACTGTTGCTTTGTGAAAAGTTTAATCACAGTCCTCAGACTATGAGATAGGCACATATAAGATCTTCAGCTAGTTTTGGTAACTTTTTGAACGAGTTAAATTCATTTTTCCTTTAGATATATATCATTCAAAAATCTCTTATGCCGCACAGAATGACTCAGCCAGTGAATTCCAAGGTGGTACGTGGTATTACTCCACATTGGTTCGGGTTGCCATGCCTCATATCAGCCTATCTAAATCTAAGTCGCCAAGATGAAACAGAGAGATGAGAAAGAGAGTATTCAATGGGGTAAAAAAGTCGTAAAAAACTAACAAGAAGAAATGAAACTCGATATGACGATTAGGATAAAGATGACATGTGGACACATGTCCGTCACTAACATCTATTCTCGGCCACTACAATTTAGTCTCAAGACACCGGTTTCACTTGTCATGTTGACCCTAACCAGGAAGTCTGTATCCCTCTACTAACCTTAAGCCAGCAGTCAGACTTTATGAACTGATGCCATGCTATAGTCTGACCGCCTCAAAACCTTTTTCTTGCTTAAACCTGCTTCTGCTAACAGTGTGATAGAGTAGACGGTGACTAGGTATGTTTAAGTCATATCGCAGACGCGTGAGTCGATGTAAGTTTGCAGTCTGATTAAGTGATACGCTTATTTCGCCTAGAATTCTTTGCCAGATTTCTGCAAATATAGTTATGCGTATTTTGACAAAAAGCAGCCACTTGTGTATTATTGTAGACCAAATCTAATTGAACAGACGCCTTCCACGTAATGTGTTTAAACAAAGCCAAAACATGTTTCTTCAGGAATCGAATATTTCTAGGTATTTTACCTGATTATTGATTAGTGAGGTATCGAGTAAGGCTCTTCGCCACCGTACGTTTGTTGTGTGTTACTGATAGCAATGTGTTCATATGGTATATAGTAGGGCATCGTTGACAGAAGCCACAGGAGCAATTCATCAACTGTCGACTGTCATAGCTCAAAAATTGGGATATATTCCTTAGAAATATAGTAGAGGAGAAGATGAATCGGATGAAGGTAAAGTAAAATGGTGCCAGAAAAAGACAATTAATATTTGCATAAATCACGTTCATTATAAAGTTGTGATAGTGTATCAATACTCTATGTAACTTGCCTAATAAACAATCTTTACCTTTCCTCGTCATTTATTTTTCATAATATCTGGTTAGTTATGTTTGTGTTGGTGGAGTCCCGACCTATGGGATTTCTAACCGTATGTCCAAAAGCCAGGGTTGGCCCCTCCGGCACCTCTGCGGTGTACTTTCCCGTGGCGTGAACATTTCTGCTTTACACCTGTAAAATCTGCCTTTCGAGATTAGAATGTCCAGTGAATCTGCATTTCCGTTAATTGTTGTCTCCATAGGATTGGTCGTGTTGGGTAAAAACAGCATCTCAGTAATTCTGGTATGAGATGGCGAGTGTTTGAGCGTGTCAGAGATTGCCGTTTATTGACCCCGATCGATAGCTTCCTCTTTCGTGTGGTGGTCGGGCTTGGATATCACAATGATCCAACGGGCTATGCTGTTGGAATGCTTTTTTCTTGGAGATTCTACTATGCCAGAAAGGTCAGTTGGATATCGGTAAGACGAAAAGCAGTCACCGTTGTAGTGTAAATTGCTACACTGTGATGAGGGTCGGAGTGCAAAGTAGTACTAATGCTAGCTGGTTGGGGTGTGACAACAGTAAAGTGTTTCCTTTGGATGACCAGTAGTCCTACGCCAATGCTGCCTTCTAAACGAAAGAGAGGGAGTAGGAAAGGTCGACCTCAAAATACCACACTCCTCCCTGCCCCACTATTTTCCAGAGCCGCTGGCATGGATTCTCTCTATCCGGTATTAGAACAACCAAAACTCAATACAACTCCCACAAAAGGGTCGTATGTGATATTCTTGAGCACAGACATACCTACCTGCTGCCGATACTTGTCATATTTGTTAACCTTCCGGTGGCATTTGACTCTGCCGACCGTGAGGTATTGTGGCGGTGTCTGACTACGAAGAGACTACGGAGCAAGTATATAACTCTAATCAGAGCCGTCTACTCCAATTCATACAGCCGTATAAGGGCTTATGGCGAGTTGTCATGTGAAATGACGACACTTGGTGGTGTTTGCCAAGAATGTTCAGCATCACCGTTTCTGTCCAACTTTATTACATACCTACTTACTAATGGACACAACCTTAGGTAGGTCTGGCTTCAAATGGATTGATCCCGGAAGTCGTCTGGTTGATTTGGAGTACGCAGACAATATTGTTCTGCTAGGTAAAGACGCTGACAAAATGCAGCGCCTTTCGAATGCTTTGAGGATAAATCTGAGTATGTTTGGCATGCGTTCGCACCTGTCAAATGTAAGGCGATGCTCCAGGATTAATCTGCTCAAGTACCCTCAATTTAATAATGGGGAGTGAAATGGTTGAATTTGCCAACCACTTCACTTACTTGGGGAGTTGCATCACCCCGAGCGGGCTCGGACACAGGAAGCCTGTTTGGCATTCTCCAACTGGTATCATCTGTGGTGTTGACTGGTGAGATATCTGACTATCTATCAAAGTGCGAGTATAGTGCTCTACAGTCCGTTCTGTTGTATGTCTGTTAGACATGGCCGTTAAAAGTAGAAGACACAAAGCACTTGTAGGTTTTCTATCGTAGGTGTCTTCGTAGCATTGTTCGCGTTTGATGGAATCAGCGTGTGAAGAATGCTTAGATCAGGTGCAGGGTGCTAGACAAGACAGGTAAGTCGCTTGATGAGATTGTGAGGGCTAGTCGACTGAGATGACTTGGATATGTGCCCGACCGATAGCTGCTACCTTGACGTGGTGGTCGGGCTTGCATATCACAATGACCCAACGAGCTATGCTGGTGGAACGCTTGTTCCCTCGAGGTCCTACCATACCAGAAAGGTCTGTTGGGTAGTGGTTAGACGAAAAGCAGTTACCGTATAGTGTAAATTGCTACACTATGATGGGGGTCTGAGGGCGAAGTCGTACTGCTGCTAGCTGGATGGGGTGTGACAGCAGTAAGGTGTTTCCCTTGGATGACCAGCAGTGCCAAGCTGATGCTGCCTTCTCAGTGGAAGGGGGGGTTAGAAAAGGTCGGCCCCAAAAATAACACACTCCACCACGCCCCACGGTCTGCCGGGCCGGCGGTGTTGGTTCACTTGTCGTTTCCTTTCGCTCATCCGGCCCCAAAAATACAAAAATTCAAAATAATCATACTCAAAAGGCTGGGTGTGACAGGCCTCAAGCAGATGTCCGATGGGCTCTGCGGTCACACAAATCTCTTTCAGGTACCTTAAGAAGAAATAGCCTTCCACGGTGTGGGCAGCCGGGAAGTGTCAACCGCCCTCACAACTCTGTCAGCACCCAAGTTTCTTCTGACTGCTATCCTCCTCCTCCATCATTACCTTCTAATCTTCCTTCACGTCTCTTAATTAATGATGCTGCATCATCTTCAATTTCTCCTACCTCTGCAGCCTTCGACAACGATCTGAGTCCACAGAACAGCATCCCTGGTCTCCTTAAACCACGCTCCAAATTACATATTGGAGCCTTCAATGTCCGCACCCTCCGTCAAATTGGCCAACAGGCTTCGTTGGCAAAGACTCTAGCAACTCGGGCATGGATGTGTGCTGTGTTTGTGAGACACGCATACAGGACCCAAGTGTGGTTATTCACCTGACCTCTCCTGACCAATCTGGTGAATCTGCAAAATTCACCCTTCGAGTTTCTGGAGATTCGATAGCTAGCTCTCGTGGTCTTGCAGGTGTAGGTATAGCATTAAGCACCAGGGCAGAAAACTCACTACTAGACTGGATCCCAGTTGATAGTCGCCTCTGCGCTATGAGGCTGAACGGCACAGTGAGAACTAAAAGGAATAGTGAGACTCGCCGTTGTCTCTTTGTAATCTCTGCTTACGCACCCACTGACTGTAGTTCGGATGAAGTGAAGGACGAGTTCTACCATAAACTGTCTAACCTCCTCTCGAAAGCCAAACGTTCGGACGTAGTGGTTGTTGCAGGTGACCTCAACGCACAGGTGGGTAGACTGAGTGAGGCAGAAAGGCACTTAGGTGGCACTTTCGGAATCCCAGCTGAACGTACAGATAACGGTGATCGCCTATTACAACTATGCTCAGATAACCGCCTATTTTTAGCCAGCACAAATTTCAGACATAAAGAAAGGCACTGTCTGACCTGGCGTCCACCGAGCTCGACTCAGCGATGGACACAGATAGACCACATTGCTATTAGTCATCGCTGGAGAGGATCGGTGGAAGACTGCCGCTCCTTCTGGAGTACGTGTTTGGACAGCGATCATGCGTTGGTCCGAGCACGTATATGCCTGCGTCTCAATGGACGTAGAAAAAATTTGGCAACAAAACCACTACGAGTTCTGCTGGACAACGAAAACACCAAAGCCGTGTTCAGTGAGAAGTTGGCTAGGCAGTTATCGGAACAAAAGACTGTCACTCATCCAGAAGAAGCTTGGTGCCATCTTCAGTCTACTGTAAAAGCAGCACTGGAGACTGTAGCCGACTCCAAGATAATGGCTAAAAAGAGCCAGTGGATATCAGCAGCTTCTTCCAAACTAATGGATGCACGTGAATGCATCCCTGCAGGCTCTGAGTACAATGAAGAGCGAGCGCAACTTAAAAATAAACTGACGAAAAGTCTGCGCAACGATCGTGAACAGTGGTGGGCAGCAAAGGCTAAAGAGATGGAAAAGGCAGCGGCGATCGGTAACAGTAGACAGTTATTTAGACTTATTAAGGAGACTGGGGGGAAATGGTCAACAACAGTTAGTGAGGTTATAGCGGAGAAGGACGGATCTGCGATTCACTCGCAGGGAAGGCGACTGGGACGATGGGCAGAACACTTTGAGGAACAGTTTAACTGGCCTCCAGCCACCATTGCGCTGCCCGCTATCCAGTCGGACCCTGAATGGGACATAGAGACAGGTCCCCCAACACTAGAAGAAGTTGAGAAAGCGGTAGGTAGCCTGAAACGGGGAAGGGCAGCAGGACCAGACGGACTACCTGCTGAGGTATACAAGAATGGTGGTAGAGTTCTCTTAGTCAGGCTAACGGAAGTGTTAGCCAGTATATGGGAATCAAATACGATCCCCTCCGACTGGTCTAAGTCACTGATCATCCCAGTCTTCAAGAAAGGCGAGAAGTCCTCTTGTGATAACCACAGAGGAATCAGCCTGACAAACATAGTGTCTAAGATCCTAAGTTCTATAATTCTCCGACGCCTGAGTGGAGCTCGGGAACAGCAAGCCCGAGAAAACCAGGCAGGCTTTAGACCTGGCCGTGGATGTATCGACCAAATATTCACACTGCGCCAGGTCCTGGAACATAGGCATGCTTACAGACGCCCGACAATAGCTGTATTTCTCGACCTGAAGGCGGCATTTGACTCCGTTGATCGAGAAGTCTTATGGCAGTGTCTGTCACTGAAAGGCGTGCCTAGTAAGTACATCACCTTATTGAAAGCTCTCTACTCGAACACTTGTGGGCATGTTAGAGCCTATGGTGAGTTGTCCAGGGAGCTATACTCATCAAGTGGTGTCCGTCAAGGATGCCCACTATCCCCATTCTTATTTAATTTTATCATAGATATTCTTATGGAGGTTTCCCTCTCGTCACCTAATTACAAAGACGTTGACCCGATCACAGGTGAATTTTCCTTAGATCTAGAATATGCAGATGACATAGTCCTGTTAGGTGAAGACGCTGACAAGATGCAGAGTCTTCTGAACACTTTGAGTGGGAATTTGAGAATGTTTGGGATGCGATTTTCACCACCCAAATGCAAATTTTTGCTCCAGGACTGGTCTTCAGCGGTACCGCGGTTAACAATAGAGAGTGAAGTGGTTGAGTGTGTTGACCACTTCACTTACCTGGGAAGTAGGATCAACCCGGTGGGTTAGTTGCCGATGAGATTTCTGCACGGATACAAAAGGCTCGATTGGCTTTTGCCAATTTGCGCCACCTATGGCGCCGCCGTGATATTCGTTTGTCTATTAAGGGTCGCGTGTACTGCACAGCAGTCCGCTCTGTTCTACTGTATGGCTGTGAAACATGGCCATTGAAAGTGGAAGACATGAGAAGGTTACAGGTATTTGACCACCGTTGCCTTCGTAGTATAGGACGTATTCCGTGGTGTCACCATGTGAGTAATGCAGAAGTTAGGTGTAGAGTTTTAGGGAGAAGAGGTAAGTCAGTCGACGAGGTTGTGAACCTTCATCGACTGAGATGGTTGGGACACGTACTACGTATGCCTAGTCACCGATTGCCTCGTCACACAATGTTGGCTGAGGTGGGTTCAGGCTGGAAAAAGGCCCGAGGTGGCCAGACTAAAACATGGCACCAATGTATGAAGTCTCTGACTGTTGGTTTAAGCCATGTAGGACGATGCAGACTAGGTGGTTGGGGTCCACGGGACAAGAGGAACCAGTGGTTGGAGACCCTAGGTGATATGGCTCAGAACCGAAGTCAGTGGCGCAGATGTATACACACATTATCCTCATCTTAACAACGCTATACCGAATCTCACTATTTTGTCACTCCTCTTTCCTTTCTTCTCGTACTTTATATTTCTTTTGACTGCATTCACTTATCTTCATCCTTCACCTCACTACCTTTTTACTTGATGTGCTGATATGAGGTGTGGCAACTCGGACCGTTACGCAGTAATGCCTGGTCCTATGTTGATAATGATGATGATGATGGACATGTGCTGCACATACCGAGCCATCACCCCGTCGATGTGCCATGTTAGAGGAAGTTTGATTAGGTTGGAAGAGTGTTCATGGTAGCCAGGCTAAGACTTGGCACCAGTCAATGAAGTCTCTCACTGTTGGCTTGAGTTGTACACTGCCTGCTTGTGGTCCCGGAGACGCACGAAATCTGTGGTTGAGGATTCTTGATAACATGGCTGAAAATTGGTGACAATGGCCCAGATGTTTTGACTTCTTGACATCTTGTGAAGCTTGAATATTCACACTAACCTTTATCTTCAAAGCGTTTATCCGCTCGTACTACTTTATCTGCTTTGATATCACTTTTTCTATCCATATGTTTTTTGTATATTACTGTAAAATTTGACAACTTGTGCTGATGCACCCGTGTCAGAGGTTGTATGCTGATTTTGTCAGTTAGTCAGTCACTTATTGAGTGCAGTCATCTTCAATCACCGACTGTGGTAACTCGGACATGTGTTACGCATGGTTTTCCAGAGAATCCCAAACTGCTCATTTTCCGCTTATTATGGGACTGGTTTGGAGAAGCGGAGAGGTGTTTAGCGTATGACACGACGCTGTTGAACAAAGAAAAGTTGTGTTAGTCAAGCATCTGTACGTGCCTCACAACTTCCTGGACTGGATCCGAGAGACCTTCCAGGTCAGATTCCTAAGTCGATACCAGACTTAGCTTAGAACTGAAAGCAGTGGGTGATCATGTTACAGTTTTATTATTTCTTCTACAACGAGAAAGTAAAATGAAAGTAGTGAATATTTCCCTTGATGTATCTCAGAGACTGTATCTTTGATAACCCACTTCTACTTTATTCCATCCTCTCTTCCTTTTCATCTTTTTATAATTTTGCTTTATCATTTTGTATGGGGCAGTTCTTGGTGCCCATATTTTACCAAGTTTGTGTTCTAAGAGTAATAAAGATAACACTCACTTGAATAAACCGTGTTAATTACAGCCTTTTGGTTTGCAATTCGATTCTAAATCAGTATTTCAATCGCCCAGTGTAGTTCTGATTATAACAGTCGATTAGTAATGTTGCACGATTACCAGCAATATGTGCCCCTTTGTATTTTTGTCATAACTGTTGCCTTCGGGCTGTATAATTAGCACTCTCTCTGAAATATACAGTTTTGTTGTTACACATTAGGGTCATAATCTAACCTAACATTTTCGATTAAATCTAGCACTCTAGATGTATTAGTGGAAGAATGTGTGTGTAAAATTCTAGTAAATTGCTGACAACTCATCCTCGTTACTTATTTATCTTTTATTATCTAAAGAAGGGACTTCAGTGGGATTTCTAATTGTTAGAGGTCTGTCCTTCCACTTCATTGAAATCTTATAAATATATTTCCTATATAAATATGGTTATACTGTCCTTTAACGGAGTAATTTAACCTAAAATTGGTTGCTTTTATTTACACTTCAGAAATATAATTGCAGCGAAATAAAATTTGACACCAAGCAATCAGACTATCCCCGTAAACTCATCGAAGAAGTTACTGTTTCAAGTACTCAGGATATTCAACAACCTACATGTAATCAACTAACGGATCCGAATCTAAAAAAGATTTTTGAAGAACTGAACGATCCTTTAATTCCTGTTCAAGGTCATGCTTTAATTATGCTCAGCCGTTTATTGGAATCCAACGATTCATGTATTTCAGGCCACGAACAACCTATATTTGAAGTAAGTTCTGTTTTTATCATCTGGTGTTTTTCTCAAGAGTATTATTTAGCAACTTACTTCGTATATATTCCATACCGAAGGCCGCTTTATTTAACTCTACATGTTTTTATTCCTCACCCTTTGAGGCATTACCACCAGCAAGCGAAGGAGAAAGATGGGGAGGTAATGCCTAACAATTATTTTGGCTTATTAACGATAGGGCAAGAAGAAGACGATTGCTACAGAAATCGTCACCGTATTGGGATAGTACCCTCATAACCTCCTAAGACGGACGACTAGAACATAGGGCAGAGCCCTTTGAAGAAAAGTTCAACACTTCAGTTGCCCAGCACCCAGTCCCAACTTGAATGAGACGTAGGTGACAGTCTCCTACCTCTCCTCAAATTAAAATAACTTTAAAACCTGAAACGATGTAAACCATCGGGGACTGATGGTTTTGCCACCAAAAGCTTTAGGAAATAGAATTAACTACAGTTACAAGCCAGTATATGAGAATTCGAAGCAGTCCTGTCGGACAGATCTGGATCACTGATCTTACCAGTTTGTAAGATGGAATAAGTCTTCATATGAAAAGCATAAAGAAACCCAATTTGATGAACATTGTATTTAAGATGTCGGAATCTGTAGCTATTTGACGCCTAACTGAGGAGCGAAGAACAACAAACTGGAGAAAAGCTGTCAATGAGGGTAAATTGATCACATTTTCACCTCGCTCTAAGTTTCGTAACGCAGGCATAATTACTGGCACCCAACACTCGCCATATCTGTTTACTCGAAGGCAGTATTTGACTATATCAATGAAGAGGTGTTATGTCAGTTTCTGACTGTGAGGGGAGCTTCGAGCAAGTATCTAACGCTACTCTAGGTTCTCTACTGGAACTCACACAGCCATGTAAGGGTCTTTGGAGAGTTGTCATCTGAATCGACGACAACTAGCGATGTGTTCTGTCACTCTCGCTGTTTAGTTTTGTTATATATGTTCCAATTGACATAACCTTATGTGCATCTGACTTCACTTGAATTGATCTGCTCCCTGGAGTGTGTGTGGTTGACTTGGAGTACGCGAATGACATCGTCATTTTAATTGAAGTCGGTAACAAAATGCAAGGTTTTCTGAACGCGTTGATTAAAAATCAGAGTATTTTTGGCATACGTTTCGCACCTGTCATCGCTTTTTTGCAAGAGTGCCAGTTCTTTGGAAATTCTCTCACCGCTGACGAGTTTGTTTGTCCAAGTTTTTCAAAGTTGTTTCATTTGAACGTGTGCTTGTGGTTGTCGTAGTTTATTGAGATGAGAAACTTCATATAGTGACTTTTGACAGTTAGTTTGCTTTCATGTAATACTGGTGTCCCACCCGTTGTTGCCCTCAGTTATTGAAATTGACTTCACAGACCAAGTTGATCATTTCTTCCTTGTTGAATGTGTCTTTTGGTTTACATGAGATATGTCATATCGATCGTGTTAGTTTATATGATTCTGTGATTCCAGGTGGATGTAGCAGTCTTACTGCTGTTCCCGAGATATTCGATGGATGAGAGGGGGGTGCAATACTTCGGTTAAATTCTTTGATCAGATTTCGGCTTCACTCGGGTGAGTAGATACTACTCGATGAAACTCTTCGAATACCAGTTGAGTTGGAAGCTCATGAACAAGCGTTTTTTCTGAAACCTCTTCGTTTCTATGTGTCTATAAAACATGGCTGCTAAAAACGCAAGGAATGAAGCAATCACATGGATTTGATCATAGGTGTCTTCGTAGCGTTGCTCGCATTTGTCGGAATCACCGTGTGAGCAGTATTAAGGTCAGGCGAAGAGTACTAGGCAAGAAAGGCATGCGGATCGATGAGACTGTGAACCTTATTCGACTGAAATGGCATATATGTGTACTGCGCATTCCTAGCCACTACCTACCTCTATGTGCCATGTTAGAGGAAGTTGGATTTAGTTTGAAGAAGGTTCAGAGTGGCCAGATCAAGACCTGGCATCAGTCCACAAAGTCTCTTACTGTTGGCTAAAGCCATGTAGAGAGATGTAAACTGTCCATATGTGGTCCTCGAATAGAAAGTAATCAGTGGTTGAGGACTCTTGGTGACATGGCTGGAAATCGGTTTCAATGATGCAGACGTATTCACTCCGTAGCATGTTCTAAAGCCTAAAAATTGCACTAACTCTTACCTTCAAATTGTTTATTCTCTCACGCTACTTTGTCTGCTTCAATATCAGTCTATTTCTATCCACTTGTTCTTTGTTTACTACTGTGAAGTGTGTGGAACTATTGCTTTATGGTTTAGGTGGGTGACTTTCAACCGATGGGTCAAGGGTTCGAACCCTGCTGGACCTACCAAGATTTGGTCAGCAAGATTGTTCACCAACCCTTACAAAACAAGTGTTGCTTATTGCCTACCCTATGAATATACATGAGAATGCTGAGTGTATTTCGATTCAACTATGAAGTGTGACAGCTTAAACTGGTACACTTGTGTGCAATGTTCGATGTTAATTTTGTCTATCTGTTTGTTTATTTTTCTGCTCGTCAAAATAGAGTTATCAGCCAGCTCTTTTTGTGCGATGTTGGATTGTTGTTGTCATTTGATACCTAGTTTTTGTTAGCTTTCTTATTACAAAATCTCCATCGTCACTTTTTGAAGGCAAGATATCTAAGAATTCTAGTTTCCCGTTAATTATTTACGGTGTATTGGATTCCTTCAAAAATAATCATTATTGTTTTTAACTGTTAGCAAGTATTTCGCACCATGTTGGGTTACATAGTTTTTTTTTAACGGCGGACAGCCCTGTTAGCTATTAAAGTAGAAGACTTAATATTTTTCGACTGCTGTATATTACAAATACAATATGTTTACTAATTCATTGTCTATTGGTTTAATCAATTGTGAACTTGTTACTGCATGCTAAAACGTAACTGAAGCGGTTTAGGCACAGTGTTCTTACATTTGACACCTGAAGTAATCTCAAGAAAAAGCATAATCGGTGAGAACTATCATTCAATTTTTCATCTATTCCTTTCTAGTATATCTTTACTACAATAATGTTTAAAGACTTCTCGCATAAATATGATTGTTTGTATTTTGTCTCTTCTCTTTAGGTTTTATCAAATTATTTATCTCACACTGATAGTTATATTTACCTGAATACAATTCGATGTTTATCAGCTATGGGGTGTATGCTGACGGATAAAGTATTGAATTTACTATTAAATCAATTCTCCGAGAGTAGTATACCCTGTTCACATATGAATCCTACACAAATCACTCTTACCAGTTGTGATGTTGAATATAAGCTGAAATTAGCTGAGTCCATCATGCGTGTCCTATCGAATTTAGGTAAATATTTTTAGTATTTTTCTTGGCTTATTTATCATCTAGGATATTATTTAATTTGATTTACACTTTTTATTTAGATACACTGTATTTTTATGAGTAACTTTAGCAGTGAACTAAACAATGCTTTTCATCATAGATTGGCTAGCAGAAGAATCCAGAACGCGCATTTCGTCCTATTCGGGACTCGTCAGAAATGGGAACGAGGTCCAAGTTTCAGTAGGAATAACACCACGCACTGGATTGCAGGTACATCTAACTGATAAGTTATAAATAGGACGAAATACGTCACCTGTATTCCTCTGCTAGCCACATCGAAGTAAATTAAAATAATAAATATTCAGGCAATATCAAGATATTTGCATAGGAGTCTATACGTCGACAGAGGTTGAATAATTCGATCCAGTATAACAACGGAGAATTATAAGTATTATCGATAAATAGAGATAACAGTGGTTGTAGGAGATTAAAGCATCTCCATTTTATTTTTTCAGTTTTTCATCAGTTGCTTACAAATTGAAAAACACACTAATACCACATAGCAAAAAAATAATAACCTACTTTATACAATTAAATGAAGTTAATTAACAGATAATGACATGGTGTTGTAAGGAACACAGGTAATTCGAGTAAAGTTAACAAAGCCTGCTAATCTAGGTAGTAACGAGGTGTGATGAGTAACCGACAAACAGTGTATAATGAGTTAAACTCAGTTGGTAAAATTATCATCATATTTTAATAAAAGCAGACAGCTATCAAGGGTTCAGTCAAATGTTGTGTCATCAAAAAGAGAAGGGGGTGAAACATTAAGTTACCAGGATAAAGGAAAATTAATGACTTTTTCTTTTGAGCACAATTCTAGTTTTATAAATAAATGGTTGTGAATGATTGACCTTCGAAAGTCACTGATTACCTAATGTCTACAGACTCAGATGTTGAGAAATTAATTTCTTGCTCATTTTAATGCTCAGTATTATTTTTGTAGCTGTGAGAGATGCATTAAACCTTTTATTTTTGTAAATTACTAATATTTCCAAATTGATACTTGTTTGAAATGGTAACTTTGGATTCCTAGGAACTGAGGTGTACAGTATCCTCAGTAGATTAAAACTACAGGTTTTTGAGTGACTGTTATCGATGTGAACATATCTACCCATTAGCTTTAACATGAAGCTTATTTCAGCGAAACAGATCATTATTAAAAAAATATAGATTGGTAACGAGTGTAACTGTGAAATTTTAATCACTAACTATACCATCTCCTCAACTATGATGATGATTTATAGGCTATACCGTATGCCAGATAACTTTACTTCTTAAAACTGATCATTCATTCCTCTGGAATTATTTGTTCTCTTTTCTTTTCATAATGATTTTTCGGACTGATGAGAAATCATTCGCCATTCTTTATTATAAAAAGAAATATAACTATTTTTTCAACTTTTTCATAGGTTGTTGTGGTCATTTGATTGCTTAGCTTTCCAAATAAATTTTGTATGCATGTTAACAGGATTTATATTGAACTTTTTCTTGGGTTTACTAGTCGTCGGGATATCTATCTGCAGTGGTAATTCATGAAAACGTATTTATACTACTATGGATTTAATGAAGAGAGGTTACCTACATGTTTATTAGGAACATTCTCGATATCATTCCTAGATAATATGGTGATTATTTAATAAAAGAGGACAAGATTATTCATATTTTTCGTGAAATATATATAATAACTTTTTATCTTGTACGACAGGTACTAGTAATATGCGAACGATATATATATATATATATATATATATATATATATATATATATATATATATATATAACTTTGAGAAAGACTGGGATTTTGGCCATCGATTTCACTTCGCTGTATAGCTGATTTTTATTGATCTTAAATGTTATTACACTTATTCTAATTGACGATCGCAGTCATATAATTCAGTGTATACTTACATCCTGCACATATATAAGTCTTGTGAATACTTATATCACTGCATTCAGTATTTTAATCCCTTCATGCTTTGAAACAATGCAAATAGCCGCACTTTACGATATAAGCTAATATAACACTACTGCTGGAATTATGATTTTCAAGTATTCCATGATTGCTTAAAAGTCTAATCACTTGATAAACAGGCATGTTAGTTATTTAGTTTGCATGTCTTCGGTAAGGATGGTATCACGATTAACCTTGCTGTTAGAATATTTACCTTCTGCTATCTACTGTTCAGTGTATTTAAGACATTACCTTTTTAATGAATCTGTGGAACTCGAAACAAGTTTTATTTTTATTATTTATAAGGTGATATGGCACCGAAGTATCGAAGAGAAGTATTCAACACTTTTGTGATTGGATCTAAAGCACTGAGGAGTTGGTACGAGCAGCTAGTCTTTCAAATATCGCTGAACTTGTTCGTTTATTGAAGTATGCTGTTCAGCCAATTATATATGAGGCACGTTTACCTACCACCTTTTATTGACTGATAAATTTTTTCATTGTACACCACTTACTAAATATTTAACAATAATTCGAAGGGTGGATTAATCAGTTGTTACACAACAACCGCTCTAGTATCTATGACGATATAGTGAAGCCGTCTAATTTTATTTATCTTATATAAGGTGAAATATGCCTAAAATTTGTAACTTGTAAACGTAGTGGTAGTTAATGACAGTCTTTGGATTACGGAGGTACTTATAAACTGTTATTCATATGCGGGTTCACTCGACCGTAAATGATACTTTATTGTAATAGCTGGTGGATATTGAAACTCGTAGAATGACACTACTGAATAATTGATACCTTAGAAGACCCATTGATAAAAACTTCGAAAAACGAATTAACCCTCACTCACTCTGTTACAGTTCCAAAGGAAATTTGAATCATGAATTTGAAATTCGTAGGTATTGAAAAGTGATGTCTTTTATGCTACTAGACTGAGATTGGTATTCTCCAGCTGTCGTTTAATTCGACAATATATGAAGGATAACCTGCCACTTATGTCCACATCTATATGTATCTGCAAGTTCACATGATCTTTGGGGTCGACTATATTGGACGTTGTAAGCCGAACTTCCTAAAACGTGTTGCTGAACATTACCCTGTTTTGTTTGCCCCGAAGGTGAGCGAAGAAAAACAACATCCATTTGTGATCACCTAATGGAATTAGGTCACTCAGCTCGTCGAGATTCAAAGTTAAATTAAACTGCTCCAAAGCTCTACGTTTCTACCACTTATGCATGATTGAAGCACTAGCTATATTTAAACAAAGACTGAAACTGTGCCTTTAAAAGCGTTTTGTGAAACCATCTTCTCTACCCTGGCCATGATAATTTATTTTGGTCAGTTTGTCAGTTTCATTTTACTTCACTTTTATTATCGTCATTTTCTGACAGACTGAACCCTTATTTCACTACCTGATTTCATTTTTATTTGTATCATATGTATATTGGCTGAGGACTTTTTTAAAATTATATTTATCTAACATCTTAACAATACAAATACGACTGTGCAGTTTGAAATCAATCAATCACTATCAACATAGGACCAGGCAATACTGTGTAACGGTCCGACTTGCCACACCTCAATTAGTTCATCAAGTAGAAATGTAGCGAGTTGAAGGATGAAGATAAGTGAATGCAGTCAAAAGAAATATAAAGTACGAAAAGAAAGGAAAGAGGAGTGACAAAATGGTGATATTTGGTATAGTGTAGTTAAGATAAGGATAATGTGTGTATACATCTGCGCCACTGACTTCGGTTCTGAGCCATATCACCTAGAGTCTCCAACCACTGGTTCCTCTTGTCCCGTGGACCCCAACCACCTAGTCTGCATCGTCCTACATGGCTTAAAACAACAGTCAGAGACTTCATACATTGGTGCCATGTTTTAGTGTGGCCACCTCGAGCCTTTTTCCAGCCTGGACCCACCTGAGCCAACATTGTGTGACGAGGCGATCGGTGACTAGGCATACGTAGTACGTGTCCCAACCATCTCAGTCGATGAAGGTTCACAACCTCGTCAACTGACTTACCTCTTCTCCCTACAACTCTAAACCTGACTTCTGCACTACTCATGTGGTGACACCACGGAATACGTCCTATATTACGAAGGCAACGGTGATCAAACACTTGAAACCTTTTTATATCTTCCACTTTCAATGGCCATGTTTCACAGCCATACAGTAGAACAGAGCGGACTGCTGTGCAGTACACGCGATCCTTAATGGACAATCAGATATCACGGCGGCGCCATAGGTGGCGCAAATTGGCAAAAGCCATTCGAGCCTTTTGTATTTGTGCAGGATTTCATCGGGACTGAGCCACTAGAGCAGGGCTGATCCTACTTCCCAGGTAAGTGAAGTGGTCGACACACTCAACCACTTCACTCTCCATTGTTAGCCGTGGTGGGGCACCGTTGAAAACCAATTCTGGAGCAATAATTTGCATTTGGGTAGTGAGAAACGCATCCCAAACATTTTCAAATTGTTACTCAAAGTGTTCAGAAGACTCTGTATGTTGTCAGCGTCTTCACCTAACAGGACTATGTCATCTGCATATTCTAGATCTAAAGAAAATTCACCTGTGATTGGGTCAAGCTCTGTGTAATCAGGTGAGGAGAGGGAAACCTCCATAAGAATATCTATGATAAAATTAAAACTGTGCAGTTTGATAATGAAGTCGTTGAAAAGAAATATTTCTTTGGTGTTATTGAAAAAAGGAGGTTAACAAGTAACATTTTGTGCATAAATGAAGTTTTATTCACTAATCTTTTTAAAGCATATACTCTATAGTATTCTCTTCATTTTCTGTTTTTCATCAAATACAATTTGTTCTCTTTGTATTTATACAGATCTTTTCATTAATTGAATTTCATCTGTCTGAAGATCTGTCAAATGTAGTTCGAAAGTCGGCAGCGTATTTAGCTCGTTCCATATTTCTCTCAGATGTTGGATCTGATAGCTTACCATCTTGGATTCCACCAGATGTGATTCGTGATCTCAACCGGTTTCTTTCAACTCGTAGGATCATTGAGAAAGATGTTTCTGTCAAAGAACAAATTGAAGCAGCCCTTGCCCAATTAGATCTATGCACACGAAATTCTGTATTCCTAAAACCTGATAGTCCTTCTTCTATTGTCAAACAAATACGTATTTTAAATCCATAAAGTGTATAATATCAATTAGTTTTTGTTGTTATGCGACTACAACTACTTAGCGTAACTGTCTACTTGACATTAAGTTGTAGCATATGACTGGAAAAGGAATGATTATTCTAGCCTCATATTTTTCGTCCCATAGTTCTTTTCTCTTCGTCAGGTGTCTACATACATTCCAGATGCTTATGTTTCCTTTCGGTTGCTACGCAACTCTTCTTACCGTGTTTTTTTTAATTATTATCAAAGCTACCAATATTGGTCACGTTAGACAGAATCAACACAGAACCTTGCAGACAAGTGCATCGGCTCATGTTGCCATACTTCACAATAGTAATCAAAGAACAGGTGGATATAAATATACTGATATTAAAGTGGACAAAGTTGTATAAGAGAAAAAACAGTCTGAAGAAAACGGTTCGTGCAAATATTCAAGCTTTAGAAGACATCAAGGAGTGAATACATCCGGGCATTGCGATTGGTTTTCACCCATCTTACCAAGAGTCTTCAAGCACTAATTCCTTTCGTCTCGGGGAACCCAAACAGACACTCTACATCTCTTAACATGCTACCAGGTCGATGAAATCCCTGACTGATCGTGTGCAGGTGGTGAAAACAATCGCCTCGTACATTGTCAACTACCGTATAAAGCAAACAAAAGAATCAGAAGAAGAGTACATAAATGTAAAATTCTGGCGTAGGAGAAACGACTAGTATCTCTTATCTGGAAAAGCTGAATAGCTGTGCTCAGTATCAGTAATTATTATTGAGATTCAATCCGTATGAATGTAAAGAGTTCAGAGTTCTGTGGGTACTGCACAACGCTCATGATGTAGAACGATAACACTTTGCGAACTCATGAAAAGTGTTTGAATAAATGTATGTACAGTGATGGAAAATATAACCAGTGTTATGAGTCACGCAACACAAGTAATAAGGCATATGTTACAAAAAAAAACAATTTAACACTATCAGGTTGATGAATACAGAGGAACGGTCATACAGTGAGTGTAAATAACATGACTTATTTGTTCCAAAATTGCTATTAATGAACAGTGGTCTGTAATGCTATTATTACTGGGTATGACATTCAATGGCATCTGATGACATATACATCGCGAAACAACTTGCTTTCTAGCACATCTACTGAATTAAAGTTTGACATACTACTCCACGCTATAGAAAGTTAATTTATATTTCAAAGCTTCTAATTGTGGTAAAATGTAGCCATAGGATTATAGTTCACCATCTCGGCACAAAAGTTCTATTCATTTTAAAATAATAAAATGAAAATATTCTAAATATCAAAGTATTAACTAAATTATCTGATAAGGTATCACTGAAATTGTGTAGACTTCCGCTCCTAGACAACCGCCGTTTTGCGTTTCTTTCGATCCTGATTAACAGCTACATATTCATAGTTCAGTTATTTGTAAACAGAGAGTGGAGTAGTGACTCACTGATATGCCGAGTTGACATTCAACCAATGGTTCACTGGTTCCAGTCTCACTCCATCTACCGAGGTAGCCAGGCATTATCACTATCCCTCACAATAGGTGTGGTCAATTGCCTTTTTTATAGACAGAGAAGTTATAACTTTTTCTCCTAAAACATCCTTTTTATTGTAGACTCTTCTAAGCATTTTTACTATTTAACATGAATCCGTAACCGATTGGTCTAGGTTCGTCATTTCGAACTAATGGGTCACCGGTTCGAACCGAGCTCCACCTACGGAACTTTGGGCAGTCAGGTAGTAATCATTAGCCTCTACACAACAGGTTTGATTCACTAACTATTACATGAACATGGACAAGAATACTGAGTGGATTTCGATTCTATTTTCGACTCTCTAACGTATCATTTTGACTTATCTTTTGTTATCAACACTTACTTGTAGGTGGGTGTCTGCAAAACTACTCAGTCTGGGGTGAGAGACCTCACCATGATCACATAATTTGATCTGCTCAACACAGTAATCGGTGTAAGATTACCAGCGTGAAGCTGCATGTAACATACTATTGACTGACATGAGTAGTTCTAGACCACACGCATCGATCAGCGGTGCTCACTAGCCGGAATTCGAGTAGTTTGAACAACTTGGCTGTCTGATTTGAGTCATTCCGAGTACATTGCGGATGAGCTTTCCCCAAACAAACGGAATGAACTTTTGCTGTTTGGATCACCTTGATCTGGCTAGCGAGCACTGCTAATCGGTGTGAGTTGCCTAGAACTACTCATATCAGTCAGTATTATGTTACTTGCAGAGTACTGATATGTTTGTTACTGATGCATACCGATTTATAGAAGACTGGTCACATGTTAGATAATAGCAACACAACCAGCCTCTTATAAGGATAATGAATCTCTCCTTAATCGAGCTACATGCTATCTCAAAACAACTTATATGCAATGATCATTGGTATTAGAAAAGTGATGAGAAGGATTACCAAGTATCCTCTCTGGACTACTTGTTTCCATGATCGTAGAAGAGAATGCCTAGCAAAACCACTTCATACTTAGGTTTTTACAGTCAAATGCTAATCGAGGTAGCACTTGTCGCTTTAACTTTATGCGAAGGTTAATCTCACCCGCCATAACTCTTCTGACGCAGTTTACTATCACAAGTGAATGCAGAAGACCTTTTTCGTGTTGCAAAATTATTTCTCATACTTCAGTGAGTGAAAGCGTGTTCTTACGGACACTAGGTGGTAGTTGATGAATTCCGACGTTAATACTATTGGTCATCATATATCTTAGGTAGTAAAATCCCCTGAATTATAGGTTCTCACCCCTAGACTTTCCTAATCAATGTTTTGCAGGGTAAAATTGGGGAATTTGTAGCTCTATGCATGCACTTCAAGTGACTATGTACCCTCACTTTACCTATGTGTACTTGCTGAGTCGTCGGTTCACGTTTTTCCCTTCCAGATTCTCGTGGTTACCACTAAACTCACACTGCTCTACACGCCCCCTGCAACGACGTACTTACCTACAGACCAGATGAAAACGTATCAACAGCTATTCGTTACATATGTACTGACTTCTAAGTATTGATAAATTTTGTTTGTTCTAATGCCATAATGTAAGTGGATTCGAATACATCCTATAAAGTTGAAATACGGCAGTAAGCATATTCTTTTAACTGATATGATATCTGAACTAAACAACATTCTGAATGTTATCACAGTCATCCGCGATTTCCAGCACTTACGAAAGTTTCACTCTCAAATTATTTTAGATTATGCTAAGTAATATATTTTAACCCTGAAATACACTTTTATTTCAATCTTCATTTTATTGCATTATTGTCGTTGCTGTGGTCCAGCAGTGCAATAGTTTAATTTTAAAACTACATAGGCAACTCAGCACTGTTCTCAGAATGGAATCAGCATTCTACTATTAGTGTTATGATAATATGTTGCAATCAGATTTCAAAATACACAGTAGTGCTTTTATGCGTTGAATATCATTGTGGAGTTTAAAATATGATATACTCAGTTTACTAGATCCTCTTAAACATTTGAATGAGAATATATCACTCGATGTTACCTTGAATGGAAAATAAAAATGTCCGCCTAAAAACCGACAGTATTTTACTAGAGAAACTGATGCGATTGTGACATAATACAGTATGAATAGCAGATGCGTTGAGTTCTGAATAAAGTGAACTTCAAATGGAAATAGTGTTCATGATGTTGTTTTAAAAAAACGAAGAAAGCCTTTTGAATAAGCTATCTAGTTCAGGGAACACAATAACACCAAAATTGAACTGTCTTACAGATGCATTCTGGAATCAGTTAGCGAAAAAACATATGCTTTTTTTAGAACCTAGTTAAAGACTCCCGTTGAGATATTTTAAATTCACAAAATAGTGTAATTATTATTTTTGACCTCAAATACTATTTCCTTGAGCTTGTTCTTTGCGTTGGTACAATAACAGAATGACGAAAACATGAACTATTAACACAAAGATAGGTGATGAAAAATTTTGCAAAATCTGTTCTGCCCGAACAGTAAATTATTTCTGAACTTGTTGGTGTGTTTTACTGACAGATGGACTCCTTGAGTATGCTCTTCAAGTTAACAAAGCAGACATATACCATAACAGGGAGAAACTAAATGCAAAAACATCATGGTACTGGTCTTAGAATAAGAAAATTCTTGTAATCCGAGCGACTTCATTTTTATTACTGTTTATTTCACAGATATCTCTACGCTTTACGAAAGTCGATTATGCCTCTGCTGTCTCCATTGGGATGAACATGTTTTTTTACTGGTTTGTGCTTCTAGGGTCACACAGCAATCAGCACGAAACTTGACACTAATGAGTAACTATCCAAGTTGCTACATCATATATTACCATGTTGAGTGAGAATATACAAAGGTAAAGGATTAAAAAATAGAGAAGGCAGTCAAAAGAATGAGAATACTGACCATTTAGATGAAGATGATTGTGCGTACATCTGCTTAAACCTACTTCAGCTAGCTGAAAAATGTGCACATTCCGGGTCCTTATTTCCCCCATATGTATCAGAATATATCTTTAAAATCTCATCAAATAATCCTTTAAATATTAATGTTAAGTATTATTATATATTCCGAACTGATATAATACACACGCTTAACTGAAAGCTAACTTCGTAAGCAAGAGCCATCAACTCCAAACCGGGACAAATAGAGAAGATTGAAGCTGGATGAAGGGGTTTATTCTCCCGAAATAATAATTAATTAATTAGAAGAATGCATGTATACACATGAAATATGACTTTTTCCGCAAATTGAGGCATTAAATAGTAAGAGTAAGGATTAACCATTCAGTGAATTACATTACAACGGGGGCAGAAAACAAGCTACTAGTCATGCTGTGAAAATTGTGTGAGAGTGACAAGTTAAAAGTATTCAGACCAGTAACAATGTTTAATGCAACACTGGGGCCTTCCAGCAAGTATGTTACCAGGTCATTTTTATGTCACTTGCGGGCTACTTAGGGTGGTAACCCTGAGCACTAGTAG